GGGGGGCAGGAGAAAATTGTCCGGAAGAAAGAACCTACAGAAAAAATAAATCCCTAGAAAAAACCCCCAACCTGATAGACTACCAGTCTCTTTGTAATTTTCAGACCTTAATAATTATTATTTGCAAAAATGTCTCGTGAGTGAGGCTGTATGGTTTCAAAGACGCGATGCAGCGCTTGTGTAGATTCAAAGGTTGAGGTCATTACTTGACATCTATGTACTGAATATTAAGACTTTCTGTACAGAAAAAACAACTTGTCTCCCAAACCTCTTTTGAAGTCGAGCAAGAACCATCGGTAGCAGAAGTAGAAGTGTGTGTAGTCGCCGTGCTGGTGCATGTGCTCAAACAGCTCGCAGTCCAGGATCTGGGGAGGCCAAAACAAGGCTTAAAACAGCGTAAAACCAGCACAACATCGACAAAAGCAAACACACATACTGGGACTAACTTAAACTTTTACAAGAACAAGTATCTAAGCTCCTTGAAAATTAATCCTTTTGGCTAAAGAAAATTAATCCTTTTAACTACAGAAAATTAAACTTAATAATAATAATAATAATTGCATTTATATAGCGCATATCCATGCTCAAGAGCAAGCTCTATGTGCTTTACAACTATTATTAGCCCAGCAGACCCTCTGAGAACACTCAGAAACATTCTCAGCTTCCGAGGAAGCATACAGTGCAAGCTGGGGACTTCACGCGCTCAAACACTATCAAACTGACAAGATCTTTCACTGTCTATAGCCAGGTACCCATTTCCACCTGGGTGAAAGTGTGCAAAGTGCCTTTCCCAAGGACACAACGTCGGGCCCGTGACGGGATTTGAACTACCGACCTTACGGTAGCGAGTCCGAGAGCCTAACTACAAGGCCACCGACGCCACTTACCGTCAACTATTTGATCATCAGAAGAACAAGGGGGCTCATACATTTGCAAATATCGAGACAGCATCATTTACGTCACTGTCCAGAGTCGACATATTTGTCAGTTTCAAATGAAAGTGATACTAATTCTAGATTTACCGTCAAACGTTATCAGTGCTCATGTCATATTAAATTATTTGGTTCTCACAAAAGAGGTCTGGTATTTAAAAATGGAGCATATCTTCAAAAACAGTGTTACAAGCCACATGAAAGTAAAGGACACTATGTTCTAGTCGGACATTTGGCCATGTACAAGCAACCAAGTCGCAATGTTGGACGGACAACTAAGATTCTTTGTTAGTTTTGGTAAGAGTTTTACGGCACGAAGATTAGAGGTGTTACAAGAGAGTAAGAAACACAAAAAAGGAGGAGAAATAAGGACGATAGATGTTTGATAGGAAAGAAGGAGGAGAGATAAGGACGATAGATGTTTAAAAGGAAAGAAGGAGAGATAAGGACGATAGATGTTTGATAGGAAAGAAGGAGCAAGCAACACCAAAGCACCTGCCAACCACCTACAGAACAAAGACTCTGCTACCCCAGTGACCTAGTTCAGGAACAAAAAAGAGCAAAGAACAAACTGCTCGCTGACCTGAATGAGCGACCTCATGTTTGCAAAGTGAGTGTCCATTGCCCCGCCGTGGGGGAAGTTACACGACATTCTCTTCATGAGCTGGCAGAAACAGCTGTAGGCCAGCGACTCTATGGATGAGAAACAACAGAACAGATGGGATCAGCTTCTAAGTGATAGGAAAACTGACATATACATGAGCTAAACTTCTAGATGATAGGAAAACTGACATATACATGAGGTAAACTTCGTTGCTCACTAACAAATACGTGGGATAAACTTTTTTTCCAGATGATATGAAAATTGACAAATACATGGGATAAACTTCATCTGTCACTTACAAATGTATGGAATAAATTTCATTGGTCACTAATAAATATGTGGGATAGACTTCCCTTGTCACTAACAAATACATGGGATCAATTTCCCTTGTCACTAACAAATACATGGGATCAATTTCCCTTGTCACCAACAAATACAGGGGATCAATTTCCCTTGTCACCAACAAATACAGGGAATAAATTTCCCTTGTCACCAACAAATACAGGGAATAAATTTCACTTGTCACCAACAAATACAGGGAATAAATTTCCCTTGTCACCAACAAATACAGGGAATAAACTTCACTTGTCACCAACAAATACAGGGAATAAATTTCACTTGTCACCAACAAATACAGGGAATAAATTTCACTTGTCACCAACAAATACAGGGGATCAACTTCACTTGCCACTTCAGGAATCATGACAAAACATGAACAGCACGGCCATTTTGTGAGTACACGTTAGACAGCATCAAAGTAGGTAAAACGAACACACCTTAGGAGTGGAAAATATCTTGTCTGAGACGATAACATAAAAAGGTGTTACACATAAGAAAAGCACTATGACAAAAACACCGCATTGATTCATTCGACTCACCGTCATCAAATATGACGAGAAGAGGAGCCACCAGATCGCACATTCCCTGAACATATCCGATGTCTAAATGCTGCCACACATACCTGCAACGGAAATATATGGACAAAGTGAATGTTAAATGTTTTTTTATCTGTATAGAATTAATGTTTTAATGAATGTTTCTAGTTACTCACGTTTCAACTTTATTGTGATCGTTCGTGAATTTTTATTGCATTGTATTTTTTAGCTAACACATTTTCAACCTCACTGCGAGACTATTTTCCTCATATAAAATTTTACACATATGCATTTATATTATATGTATAATACGTTGTTTTACGTACGCACTTGTCGATTAATTTTTAAGATGCGATGTCTTTTTCGTTGTAATGCGCATTGAGCATTTTTTAGAAAATGTAAATGCGCAGTATAAATGCTACTTATTATTATTATTATTATTATTATAATGACCACTCAAAGCCTACTATGATCATAAAAAGTTGATCTGAGATCCTCTAGACCCTACAGGGACATAATGACCAACCTAAGCACATCCACACTACACCCAGTTGAGTACTCAAACCATTATCTCTCTCTAGTATCGTGGAAGGAAAAGAAATCAAATGAGGTAGTGCTTGATGAAGCCCACGTGGGACGCTCAATGTTAAAAACAATCAGGAAACGACAAATGCAGTTTTTGGGACACCTGAATAGACATAAGGGTCTTGAACATCTAGCTCTCACTGGCAAAATTGAGGGCAAGCGAGGCAGGGGTAGGCCCAGAACAACATACTTAGGGAACCTAAACAAATGGGTAACAGGGAAAGATCAGGGAAACGTAGCTTTTCTGAGAGCATCCGAGCAAAGGATTGAATGGAAAATCATGATTGCCAATGTCTGTTGCAGATCTGGCACTGGATGAATGAATGAATCTCTCTCTGTTGAGCTATTTGTTAATATTGAACATAAAAATCAGCACAAAACCAACAAAATTAATCCAGATGAGACCACATAAAATCTACCACAAGAAAAAAGCAAAACGAAAGTCATGGCCTTGAGCAAAGTCAAGACTCCTGATACCATTGTTCAACAATTCCGTCTCAGATCATTGCAATGAGCCAAATTTTCTTTTTCATTGCTTGTTCACAACGGTAGCACTGGCTTAAGTGACTCACGAGCACACGATAATATTGTGCAGTTTCTCATGAACTTGTACGCACATAATAAAGCGTAGTTTCTCTTTGACTCATGTGCACATAATATTGCGTAGTTTCTCATGAACTCACGTGCACATAATATTATGAAGTTTCTCATGACTCGCAAGCACATAATATTGCGTAGTTTCTAAACCACTCATGTGCACATAATATTGCGTAGTTTCTCATGAACTCACGTGCACATAATATTATGAAGTTTCTCATGAACTTGCACGTACATAATATTGCGTAGTTCCTAAGCGACTCACGTGCACATAATATTGCGTAGTTTCTCATGAACTCACGTGCACATAATATTATGAAGTTTCTCATGAACTTGCACGTACATAATATTGCGTAGTTCCTAAGCGACTCACGTGCACATAATATTGCGTAGTTTCTCATGAACTCACGTGCACATAATATTATGAAGTTTCTCATGACTCGCAAGCACATAATATTGCGTAGTTTCTACCACTCATGTGCACATAATATTGCGTAGTTTCTAAACCACTCATGTGCACATAATATTGCGTAGTTTCTAAACCACTCACGTGCACATAATATTGCGTAGTTTCTAAACCACTCACGTGCACATAATATTGCGTAGTTTCTCCAGGTTCTCGGGCGTGAAGTAGTGGTAGTTGCGGTCACATCGCTGGACGTCTTTGTCGATGCGGTGAAGGTTGAGGGCCACACTGTCTAGCAGCTCCGCCTGGTGGGGTGGAGGGGGGGGAGATGGGGTGAGTTGTAGGGTGAATTGTAGAGTGAGTTGTAGGGTGAATTGTAGAGTGAGTTAACTCATTCGCTATGCCAGGCCGTGGGCAGTGGTGCGGCTAAATGGTCTTCTGTACGCCAAGCCGCCCCCAACGGCTCGAGAACCAACCTTGCTTACATTTTATTCCAATCCACACATCCATGTTAAAATTACATTGACTTCCGGGTCAGGCGTTGCCACTGACAATCGGAAGTTTAGATTCAGTTTTGAATCGTAATTTCGTAGTTTATGCGACTTTGTTTTATCGTGATGCCCGAATCATAGCCCAGACACCAGTCTTAGTACTTTTACACAACAAAATGTATCATTATTTTGTTCCCTAAAGAAATGTAGGACTCTTCTTTATACATCGATACTATTGGACTCAAATTGCCAATGCACTGTTATTGAGAAACCAATATTTTTGAGTGCTAGAGAGCAGTCAATGCCATGATTTTTGTGCAGAAAATCAGGGATGAGGATGTGACGCAGGGCATATGTGTGCTGAGATTGGAGAAGGTGGCCAGAAACGGGCAATCACAAAAATACATGAATACAGAAGTACTCACAGAGTAAATTCCTCCGTTGGAAGCAGGAGAGGCGGGGGACAGGAGACTTTCTCTGCTGGCAGACAGGTGTCGGCTCACCTCTGGGGAGAAACATTTCTCACAAGTCAAACAAAGGCATTGTCACAAGGATATGGTCATCTCAGTAATTACTTTCTGCCAGCTGGTCAAATGTACTATGTCCAAATTTTAGGAACTTTTAAACAAGCAGTTTCTGAACCCTCCATGAGTGACTAACAAAGAGGCTGAGGTGTTGGGGGAAATCATGTATTTTCACCAAATTATATAGAAAAATGCTTACAAACAGGCAAAACAAGCATAAGGCCGTATACCTACACATTTTCAGAGAATAGAACGTAAATAAGAAGAAGAGCTCATTAGAGAAGAAGTTGACACGTTAAGCAATATCAAAAACAGGATAGACAAGATGCAATAGATGCTCAAAATCACTGTCCGTCACAACACCGCAAAATGAAACTAATTAATTAGCAGTCCACACTTGGAATGTTAATCTGTGGTATCGGTAGAATATGCTGAAAAATATTTTGTCAAAATTTTGTAAGTGTTGAAATTGGGGTAAACAGGTGCATAAAGTAAGCACAAGGGAAAAAAGAAAGAAACAGGTTTTTTTTCCCCCTCTCTCCAGGAACATTTTGCTCTCTGGGCTTAAGACATCTGAACAGCTTGCTGGTAAGATATGGATGCAAACCACAACTCTCCACCACACTCTCCCTTACAGAATTTTGCAGAGAGAGTAAACTTATTGATCTTCATTCTTCATCATATGTGATGCAGCGTGGTGGAATCAGGCTCTCGTCAATTTTTTGGCATAATGAGTTATTGGTATCATCTTCAAGTTTGTTCATTTGTCTTGCCTTCAATGAAAAAAATACCCATCTATCTTCAATAGAAGTGGAGATATTTTGGATTGAAGGAGGTGGGGGTCACCTTCTTCAAGAGGTAAAATTAGCGAGAAAATGGCCTCCAAAGTTTGGTAAATTCCAAAGCTGGAGTGTCAAAGGAAATCGTAAAAGTATATTTTTGTGCCTTTAATGAACGTTTTCAGAAAAATCCGCTCAGAAATGAGTTATTTAATGGGCATGAAAGGTGTGGAGCCAAAAAACAAAAATTTGATACAAATTTACAAACCTGCGGAAAAATGCAAGTTTCTTCAATTTAATTATTTTGACGAGAGCCTGATTCCACCACGCCGCCTCACATATATGTAATACAAAGCATCCAAAAATAAGTGCTAATTTTAACACAAATGTACATGAAATCAATCAGAGACACAAGGGACCAACAAGACACCATACAATACAATGTACCTGTTTTGTTGCTCAATGAGACTAGCATACCTGTTTGTTGCTCAATGAGACTAGCATACCTGTTTTTGTTGCTCAATGAGACTAGCATACCTGTTTTTGTTGTTCAATTAGATTCACATTACATCATCCGATGAATTATTTAAAAGCACTTCAGGTACTACAGTGCAGCCTCTCTATAACGACCTTCGATATAACGACCTTCGATATAAGACCTTCGATATAAGACCTTCGATATAACGACATCCTGTGTATAGCGACATGGTGCCCAGGTCCTGATTTTTTTCCTTATATTATATCATTAGTGGGTAACAGGGAAAGATCAGGGAAATGTAACTTTTTTGAGAACATCCAAGCAAAGGAATGAATGGAAAACCTTGATCGCCGATGTCTGTCGCAGATCTGGCACTGGATGATGGTGATATCATTAGTAACTTTTGGTGGCCTCTCTCTAACAACAACTCTCTAAAACGACATTTTTTTTCTGGTTCCAACGATGTCGTTATAGAGAGGCTGCACTGTATATCATAAAGAAGATCATTCAACAGAGAAAGAGAAGTAAAATATTAAAATCTACATGTAATTCGAGGTCAAAAACTCTCCGGACTAACCTAAGCCAGGATCATAATCCAGTCCTGCTTTCGGTTCCAGGCTGGACTTGCCCAGCATTCCCTCCCCTTTCCCTGAGCTCTCCATCGCGTCGTCGGTGGCCGATCCCGTCCGCGACTTGTTCTCCGGCCCCGAGGCAGAGGCTGAGTCCTCGTCCACCACGGCGCTGTCCACCGACAGTTTGGTCGTCATGACGATGCGGTCAGCGACGTCGGTGGGCAGGGAGCGCGGGGTCAGTGGGGTCAGGACGCCGGAGTCGCCCACTGAGTCC